TTCCAGAAAGCCTGGGCTGCAGAAGCCCTGCCCGGTCCAGCTCCGGGGGCGGCCAGGCCAACTGCAAGATTCTGGACTGTTTTGGTGGCATCCAAAGACGATCTCCGAGCACTTTGAACCTCTCTGTTGGGTTTCTTTTTGTTCCCCACCCTCCACTTGCTTCACTGTTTTTGTTTTTAAGTTTGTTTTGGAAATAACAAAAAAAGATATTTATTGGCCAAGAAGTTGGTGCTGCTAAGACCGAGAAATTAAAAGAATCGGACAGATGGACACAGAGAACCAGAGGGCAGCGTGGGACCTTCTCTTGCCACAGCCTCAGGTCTTGAGGGAAGGCTCTGGCCTGGGTTCCTGGACTGCAAAGGGGACCCCCCCAGGTGGGAGGGGACAGGAAGCATCTGGAGTGAGCCACTCACCCCTAGGTGCCCAGCTCCAACCTCTCAAGCTATGCCCTGGGCATTACTGAGCAGAGGGATGCGGCAGCTCCCGGGGCTGCCCAGGCCTCAGGAGACAGAACAAGAGAGGGGCTGGGAGATCCACAGGACCAAAGGGTGCAGCGTTGGGCTGGGCTGGGCACGGGCCCAGGGAAATGGGGGTGAGGGTGGGCTGGGTAAGACCTGGCCCTCCGCTGCCCTGAAGACCACCCCAGTCTACCTCGGTGCTGGCCAGGAAACCTATTGGCTACCTCTCCCACCATCCCAGACTGTGGGCAGGGGGGTGGGAAGGGAGTAGGCCTGGGCTTAGGCCCTCCCCCCTCCAGAATTTCCTCCAGATGGGGCAGTGCCCAGGGAGGGGTTATTTGTCTTCCCTGTCATTGGGGGGGGGGAATCCCCAGTCCAGGCCCTAGGCCCCTTAGCAGGGAAGGGATCCTCGGGGAAGAGGGTCCCAGGAGCAGACCCTGCCCCCAGCCCCCACAGACACACCCCAATCTGAAAGCCATGCGTGTCCATGTATATAGGAACTATGTACAGAGCCCGGAGAAGCCCCCCTTCATCCCCCGGGGAAAAAAAAAAAAACTAGACAGAAACTCATCTATATATTCTGTATCTGGAGTTCCATTTTGAATATTAACTGTGTTATTTTTATACACTTTTTAAGCCTTAACTCGCCATTGATTTACCAGTTAAACGTTTCCTGGGGTTTTTTTTCCCATGGGGTTCTCTGCCCCAACCCCCACCCCTTTGTTTGACTTGCGTCGTCTGATACTCAGTATTGTAGCTTTTTGTCCGCATGTTACTACCCTGTAAATACGCTGTTATACATACTGTTAACACCCCATTTGCTTTTTTCTATGGGACCTCCAGGCCACCATATTTAGAACTAGTTACCTTATTAAAAAAGAGAAAACAGTCTGTTGGCTTCTCAGTCTGCATCTTGGTGGCAGGGAGGTGAGGGCAGGTGCCCCTCAATGCTTCAGGAAACAAGTTTGCATTATACTTAAGAAAAGGGGTGGGGAGCAAAATAAAAATCGAATGTGGGGGAAGACACTAAATGGGGCAAGAAACAAAGGCATCCCAAACCCTCTGCTCTTTGTATTTCTCTGTTGTGAAGAATAAACTGTACCTGCACCTGGGTGGCGGCGGTGTGTGGCGTGCTCTGTGCGAGGGCGGGGCTGGGGGGCACCTTTCCATTGCTCCTCTCCCCTCCCCCGCCCCCCAGACTTGGGGAAGAAGGGAAATGGCCCCTTACTGTGCGCTGGCCTCACGCCAGCTGCTGAGCAGAGTGCTGGATGTTTGTCACCCCATAGCCTCCTGTGAAGGAGGCATAAAACCAAGAGGTATTTTTCTTCTTTGCTGAGGATTATGCTGTAATTCAATGGCAGGAACGTAAATTTCACCCAGGTTTGTCTCATTCTGAACGAAGCCATTTGGGATGTATGGGGATCACTAGTGGGGTACACAGCCCCTGCTCCCAGGTCAAGGGGGCAGCCACATCCCCGTACCTTGCCTATCTTTGGGGCGTCCATTGCAAGCACCCTGACTGGTAAGCAGTTCCAGCAATTGATGGAACCAAGAAGTCCCCTTCGCATCCACTTTCCCCATGAGGGTCAATGCTTTGATTGTGTAGGAGGGAAATGCAGGAATTAATCACCCCAAAGTGTATCAAGGCCAGTCCTCTGCTTGGCATCCTGAGAGAGAGAGAAGTGACTCCACCAAGAGTCACCATGGAGCTCATCTTCAGGAATTCGCTCAGCCCTCAGGCCCTGTGTGTCAAGACGCCGCTGCAAGTGTAGGAAGTCCAGTCCAAACAAGGATTTATTGGCTTATATAACAGGACAGTGCAGAAGTCAGGCCAGCCTCAGGGTTCCCCGGGGGTGGGGGTCTCCAGCTCCCCCCTTTGTTCTAAGATCTGGTTTCATCCTTAGGCTCCTGTGGAGTCAAGCTCCAGCCTCACAGCCTCCCCACCCGGTTTCCTGCAGTCAAGCCTCTTGCTCTTCTAGAAGCCCCAGCAAATATCTGGGTCTTGCTGGTCGAGACTGGTGTAGGTCCCATTTCCGAACCAATCACCGTGACCAGAACGTCTGTACTTGATGGGCTTAGACCTAGAGCCCATGCCTCAAGCCTGGAGCATTGGGTGAAACCCTCTTCTGTAGTACATCTCCCCAGAAGGAAACCCGGCCTGTTAACATCAGGAGGGGTAAATGGATGTGGATTAGCCAGGAACACGTGTTGGGTAACCTCACAGGCCTCATGGCGTCCTCTGAGATTGACCTCCCATAGCCTGCGGTGCTGTGAAGGGGAGGGCTTTGGCAGCCATGTTTGTGTCACATGACACAATCCCAGCCACAACTGAGTGGCCAGCAGTGGACACCTGACTGAGCCGCTGGGGCCTTAGACCAGTGGTAGCAATGGTGGCAGTGGTATGCAGTGGCTGTCCTGGTTCATGAGAGTGGACTGTGCATACCTCTGGCCAACTCCGTATTCAGTGAATGTGGTGTTGAATCAGCCGTGGTGGGATTTATACAACAGAAACCAGCAAAGGCTACAAATCCGGGTGTTCTTTTTCCTAGAAGAGCCAGTTGCTAAACATTTACCAGCACACCACTGTCTGACTCTCCAGTCGGAGTTTCCAGTCCATGAATTCGGAACAGGTCCAGTTCAGGAGCCTGGAAGACCTCGTGGCCCAGGGGTTGGGATGTGTGTTGGGCCAGACACACGAGCAGGGCAGAGGCAGACAGAAGCAGAGATGGACAGAGAAGCCCTAGATAGAGCCTGTGTCAGACTCAGTTCCTGACTTTGGATCTCCATCTTCCCAGCAGATTTAATTTCCTGCTTGTTCTCACATCAGTGAATTTAAGTTGCCAGTGGCGTGACATTGGGCAAATTACTTAACCTCTCTTTGCCTGATTTTCTCATATGTAAAATGAGGAAATAATAGCACCCAATTTATAGGGTGGATGTGAGGATTAAATGAATCAATAGATGTCCAGTGCTTCTAACTTTGCTCAGTGCGTACTAAGTACCAGTAAATGTAATTATTGTTACTGTTATTTGACGTGGCCCTGATGGGCCTACATCCCTTATGGTCAGTGAACCCTGGCTAGACAGCTGCTGGTGTTTGGGAATTTCTGGGGGTGACATCTGTGTTGGCCTGGAGGGTGGGGCACCAGGGGCAGGTGAAGATTTTGCATGTAGACGCGACACTCTGAGGACAGGGGGGTGGGGGTGGGGGGCTGGCAGCTTTTCATCTGCTCACCGGAAGCCCTCGGGAGCCTCCACTATCTCTGAGGGCCTTGGCACGGGTGCTGAGGACAGTGCTGACTCACAGTGACACTGATGGAAGTGGCTACAGAAGGAGCTTATCCCCCCCCTTATTATTCCTGCTTCTGCCCCAAGTCCCTCTAATGCCCCCACCCCCACCGTGGGCCTCTGGGTAAGACAAAGGAGGGAGACACTCCCAAGAAGTCATCTGGTCCACACTGCAGCTTCCCTGACTCTTCCCGGTCCTCAGGAAGGTCTCCACCCACAGTGTGAAGCTGTCCCCGCCCAGCACCTGGAAACCCCTGACCAAGCCATCATTTCCTCTCTAAGACAGGAAACGGCTGGTCTTTTTACAAAGCCCCTGCACTCCATGAACTTGGTGGAGAAAGCGCAGGCAAGGAGGGGGAGAAGGCAAATTTCATTTTCTGCAGCAAGCATCACAACAATCCCCACGAGGGCACCCCCGCTTTACAAACATGAGAAAACCGGGACTCGGTTAAGGTGAGGAACTTGTCCAAAGTCACGCACAGAGTTAGAAGAGAAGCAGATCTTACTGGCTCTCTCATGGTCAGGGGTTGTGAAGGCAGGTGTGGGTGGCCCTCGGTGAATGCTGCAGGGTAAGGTAGAGGATGTTTTCCCACCAGAGGAAGGGATGCGCCTGCTCAGAGTCATCAAGCAATAGCCCGTTCTTAGGCACACCCGGCCTGTTCTTATCTCTAAACCAGTCCCAAAAGCCTTCTACATTTTGCTAATCCAGTTTGGGTGGGAGGCACTGGGGAGCTTCAAACTGTGCTTGGCGAGGGGAGAGGTCTATTTCACATCACCAATAAGCGGAACCTGCTTGTACAAATGATCAGATTGTAAACACCATCAGGACTGATTTCCACCGGAATTGCTCTCCTTCCTGGGAACAGTGGGGCCTCTTAAAACTGCAACGTCTGTGAGAACATTACATGCAGGATTCCGGAGACCTGGAGTGAAATCCCACCCTCACAGGGCCTCAGTTTTCCCAACTGTCAGAGGACAGGTCAGGGGCTTCGGAGCTGCTACCTTCTCTGTCTCCTCGGCCCTGTAACCACATTTCCTGCGGGGCCTGATGATTTCGCCTCCTGTTCAGAGTCCGTGTTTCTCCCCACTGGGGGATGAAAAATCTAGATAGCAGCCACAGGTGAGGAAACTTCTCTCCCAGCCTATGGGCCCCACATCAAGGAAATGGCCTTTTGGGGACTTGTCCAGGAGAGATGGCTACAAGGATACTTTTGGAATAATTTTATTATAATATTACTTGAATACGTACAAAGTGCTTAGGGGGGATGGGGGAAGGGCCAAGCCAAGGACTCAAATGTCACCATGTTTCTTCTGTGACAGCAGCTTTCTCCTGTTCACCCAGAAGCTACTCTCTGGAGTGAGGGTCAGTCTTGGCTCTCCAGCTGCCGCCCAGACGGACTGACTGACTTACAGCCTCTCTGTGCCGCAGGCAGTTATGCTCCCTTTTCGGGCTACAGTCTCCTTATCAGAAAGGGGGAGGGAGGGGCTAAAACCGCTCTGCCGGAGGAGGCACGGCCGAATCCGGTAAGGTCAGAGGCGAGGGGCGGCTTGCGAGGCGCTGCCGGTCCTCGGAGCTTCGTCGGTCGCTGTTGAAAAGTGGGGGACAGGCCCCTTCCCCTCCCGTAGAACAGCAAGCTCCCCAAAGGCCCGGGCCTCCTCCTCCCACCGCTGCGATCCCACCGCCGGGCACGCGGCGGAGCGGGCGGGGCCGCTTCGGTCCCAGCTCCGGCTGCCCTCCAGGCGCCCCCAGGGCTTCAGGGGGCCCCTTCCCGGCCCGGCGGGGGCGCCTCGTCGCGCACCAGGGCGTACTCCTTGGGCGCCCAGAGCAGGCGCGGCCGGCGGATCTCGGCCCGCGAGCCGACGTCGGGGCTCCAGCAGAACTCGGGCGACAGCACCTTGGCGGGCTTGTGCAGCCAGAAGAACTTGTTGAGGTGGCTCTCGTCGTGCCAGCGCGCCTCCAGGCCGCGCTCGCGGTCCCGCCGCAGGCCCCGCGCGCACTGCGCCGTCAGCCCGCGCAGCGCCGCCACGCTGCCCCCGAACACGGCCGCGTGGTAGTAGAAGTCGCCCTCGCCCCGCGCCAGAGCGGCGGCCGAGCGCGCGTCGCGCTCGTAGGGCAGCAGCCACCGCGGCCAGTGGTAGTGCCAGGAGTGCAGCTGCGCCACCGACTCGGCCAGCGCCTCGGGCCCGAAGGCGCCGCGGAAGTACTGGTCCACGTCCATGCAGAGCACGAAGCGCGCCTCGCGGCCCAGCCGCCCGTCCAGCGCCTCGCGCAGCGTGCGCATGCGCTGCATGGACACGTCCTGCCAGCGCGGCTCGCGGGCCACGCGCTCCACGCGCAGCTGGCGGCCCGGGGCCAGCGCCACGCGGGGCACGGCGCCCGGGCGCTCGGTGAACACGTAGTACACCACGCGCTGGCCCACCATGAAGTGCCGCTCGGCCGTCTCCAGGAAGCGCGCCAGGTACTTCTCCAGGTACCTGCCGGGCGGGGCGGGGCGGGGCGGGTCAGCCCGAGCGCGGCGCCCTCCCCAGCGGCGCGCGGGGCCCCTGCACCCCTGCAAGCCGCGGGCTCCGGGGCCCCACGGCCCTCCAGTCGCAGCAGCTTTCAGGGCGGGCACGAGGGGTTGCACGTCGCTCGCCTTCGCAGCCCTGAGGGGCCCTGGGTTCCCTGCCTTGGCCGTGGGCTCCTACTTGCTGCCCGCCTGGATCAGCAGGGACCGCGGCAGAGGGGCCGTGCTCTGCTGGCCCTTGGGCCGCTGGCGGTGTCAGCCTTTGCCTCGTGAGGGCTCTGAGCCTTTGAAGCTTAAAGTTTACGAAGTCCTAGACCCTCGATGCCGCAGCGACGTGAGGAAGCCCTGCTAGCCGCGCAGAAGGCGTTGTGGAGACAGGTGCCCCACCGGTGTTCAGTAGACGGCCATCCCAGGGGAGGCCCAGACCCGGGGGAGCCGCGGGGAGCCCTTCCTGCCGAGCCCTGTGGCAGCTCCTGCCCACAGAACCCGGAGCTGTAATAACAGCTGTTGTTTTCATCACTGAACTTGTGGCAGTTCCTTACATACCTGGTCAGGACCGTCTCTGGGTAGGAGCCTGTGCTGCGTGGGCTCCATGGTGCAGGTGTCCAGCGAGGAGGGAAAGGAAAAGGGTGGTCCTGCCTGCTCCCCGGGAGTCTGGGACACGGGGTGCTGTCTTTGCCTCCCTCTTCACTTTGGGATCCTGTGGTCCCGAGAACCCGGTGCCCCACCCCTGTGTCACACGCACACCCCTTCCGTCCCCTGCCTGGACGGCACCGCTCCCCTCCCCGGGCCTTACCTGCCTACAGCAAAGACAGTCAGACCAATGGTGAGGTTCTGCTGTAGAGCCTCTTGCTGGGCCACAGCTGGGTCGAAGGTGCCATCCCAAAGAATGGGGGCCCCCCAGGAAGTACAGGTCGGGACTTCAGGCCGGGCCCTGGCCAGAACAGGGATGGAGAGAGAGGTCCATTCATCCACTCATTTGGTGCATGTTCACTGCCACCTCCCCAGTGCTGTGCCCTAGGGACCCGCAAATGGGTCCCACCCAGCCAGCCCCTGCCCCTAGAAGTCCCTAGCCTAGATCCAACAGAGGATTGGGAGATGTGTGACCTGATGGGGCCACTGGGGGGCGTACCTGGCCCTGCCAGGGGGAGGGATGTGTGGAGGGCAGGGACGCAGAGGCAGAGCTCTCTAGGGTATGTAGGTGCTAGCTCCTTACCAGGGATGCAAGAGACCCGTGAAGTTGTCCCTCAGCAGGGCCATTCTGGCGGAAGGACAGACACCCATGGGGATGAGGACTTCCAGATGCCTGTGAGGTGGGGGCCGCAGTGAGGGGCATGCCAGCCAGTGCAGGGCCCTCTCTCTTTGCTCTTCATAAGGAAGGGGAGCCCCCAGGGACAAGTGCGCTGCCAAGATAGCAATTGCCCACCATCCCTCAAGGAGGCACTTAGAAGGAGCCCCGACCCTGCTGGTTCCCACGCTGAGGGCTGGGGGAAGGGGGTTGTACCTGACTACAGGGAGCCCATACAGGTACAGCCCTAAGAGGCCAAGTGCAAATAGGATCAGCCGCCAGAAGAGTCTCTTCCAAGTCCTGGGTGGTGGGGAGGGGCATTAGCAACTCGTTTACATACACACATAACACAAGAGAAATTATTTATGTAATTTTAATGTTTCCTGTTATTTATTTATTGTTGAACACAAATATATTCTATTCACATGGTACAGGTATTCAGAGGTACAAAAGAGTATATATAGTGCCAAGTTTTTCCTGGTGCCAGCCACCCAGTGGCTCTGCATGGAGGCCAGCCAGCACTACTGTTTTCTTGTGCCTCCTTCCAGAGGTGATCTGCGCGTATACAGGCAAATATAAATACGGTAGCAAATCCTCCCTCCTCCCCTCCCCCCTGATCAATGGTAGCACAGTCGATTTGCTGTTCTGCATCTTGCATTTTCCACTGCCTCCACTGACCATTATTTTTGCGGCTATTCCCTCTGAATACTTGAAGTGCTTGCCCTCCCTCTTCCCCAGCTGCCCAATAGGCCATTAATTGGATAAAGCATCGTTTACCCGACCAGGCCCCTTTTGATGAACACTTGGATACATAATCCTTTGCTTTTCCCAGCAGCGCGACGGGGCATGGCCTTGGGCAGGTTTGGGGCATGATAACATTAGAGGTTGGGGTGCTTAACCTGGGTAGGGGGTAGGAGGTATGACTGGGCTTGGACAGGAGAAGAGACTGGAAGGGGATGCAAGGAGTTTGTGGCTTGGTGACTGGGAGCTGAGAGCTGTCTGACACTTAGAGATGAGTTGAGGGTCTGCGTGGCGGGTGGGCTGTGGTCAGGGACCACGTGTCTACAGTGGCTCTGGCCACAGGGCTGGGTACGTGCAGCAGAGCCCAGCAGCCCCATTCCTGCTCGGAGGAGGTGGACTTTGGCATGTGTTTATGGTTAGGGGTCATCCAGGAAGGGATGAGATCCTTTGGGGGATCTCATCCAGTATCCCCCACCGCTCCTGTGTGCTGTGTCTCCGGAGAGGCTGGAACCACCTGGTGAGGAGTGTGGACACTGGGGCCAGATGCCAGGTTCAGATCCCAGTCCACCACTATAAGCTAGCTCGCAGAGGGGCCTGGTGGTGGTGTGTGTGCCTGTATCCACCCGTGCACCTTCTCAGCTCATGGTACCTCCTTCTGTTCAGTTGGCTGAGCCAGAAACCTGGCTGCACCTCAGCCCCCGTTCCTCACCCCCCATCTGCTGTCAGTCCCCAGAGTAGGTTGACTTCGCCTCCTGGATGTCCCCCCCCCCGCCCCCGCCGCAGCACCAGACCCCCACAGTGATTCTGCCTACACATCCCTCACCAGGACCATTGAAACATCAACTTCCCTGCTCCCAGCTCCTTCCTACACAGCCCCCAAAGTCATCCTGTAAAATGCCCACCTGCCTTCACAGTGTCCACACCACCTGCCCAATCATCCAAGAAGAAATACATTTAGAATGCAAATATATGGGGAAATGTTCACTCTCTTTAGTAAACGAAGACATCCAAATTAGCACAGGCTGGCATGTTTTACCTATAAAATGAGCTTTAAAAAAAAAACACAACAAAAACAAAAAATAGCCACGCTTCAAAGTATACAGTGAGACAGGCACTCTTACAGGTTGCTCGTGGGAGTGAAGATTGCTAGATCTTTTTGGAAAGCTACTTAGCTATGGGGATTGAGGCTTTCATTGTTCCCACCCTTTAATCCAATCACCTCAACTTCTGGGAGTCTGTTCAAAAATCATCTTCAGGATGGAAAAAGTTTACACATCAAGATGTTCACTGGTTTCTGCTTATGCATGTATTCACACCCTATTTATCGGGCACGAGCTCAGAATCACACACTTGCTAGGTCACGGATTCAGAGGTGAGCAAGGCACAGACCTTATCTTCAAGGGAATGGAATCAGGAAGATGTGGGTGGTTGGGAAGAGAGGGAATAAGTCAGATGACAGATCTCAAACAGATGAATGGAACACAGCACAGTAAAGGCTATATATAATCCGTATAAATACAAATGCTAGTAGGGTAAATTGGAGGATGGCAACTGAGCCTTGACAGATTGGGGAGGAAGTTGGGGAGGCTTCCTGGAGGAGGTGGCCTCTAACGATTAGAAGTTATCCACGCAAAGAAGGCAGCAGAGCGGGGAGGGAGGTCTGTGAGAAGAAAACAATGTACAGAGTGAGAGGGGAGAGAAAACATGGGATGTGCATGGCACCGCGGGTCACTCTGCAGGGTGGCGTGCAGGTCGGGAGCGGGGAAAGGTGAGGCCAGAGGTAAGCCAGGGCCAGATCACCCCACCTGCATTCCAGGGTAAGGGGTTTGGGCTTCCTCTTGAGAACCATAGGGAGCCTTGAAGGATACTTCCTCTAGGAAATGATGCAGTCAGGTTTTTATTTGAAAAAAAGTACCCCAGCTGAACTGTTGAGCCTGGACCCTGTTGGGGGGGGGGGGGCCGGGGAGGAACATGGCTGGAGGCAGGAAGGCAGCTCCAGGCTACTGGCAACTCTCTTGACCCAGGGCATTGTTGGTGGGTTGGGGAGGACTAAGTAGAGGTGCAGTGGTGGAGGCAGGGGCGTGGGTTGATGATATACAATTACAGTCCTTCGCTCATTTATTACTGCATATAAAATGCCAGCAGTGTTACTCATGGGCCGCATTAAGAGGTCTGACATGGAACACCTCCCCTAGGTGGTGTTCATCATCCTCATATGCTTCTCCATTGTAATGGCTCTGCCTTTCCTGATTTGGATCAAAGTCCACCAGTTCTGCATGGTCGGCTGCATCAGTCTCCTCATCAGTGTGGCGGAAAGGAGGGAGGAGGATGGTGACTGGAGGGGGCTGAGAGGCTGGGATTGGTGGAGTGTGTGTTTCCTTTATGTGAGGCGCACTTGGGCTTGGTTGGATCCTGACTAGGAGCCCAGGGAGAAGGCATTATGCAGGCTGCTGAGAAGGCCCTGACGGCCAGCCCACTGACTAAATAAACCTTTTCCCGCTGACCCTGTGGCCACGTGGAAACATGCTTCCACAGAAACCTTAGATGAAAAAAGCAGGTTCTAAAGTCAAGGAGCAGGATGATTATTTGTATTTATTTATTAAAAATTTTTTAAATGTTTGTTTTTGAGAGAGAGACAGAGTGTAAGCGGGGGAGGGGCAGAGAGAGAGGGAGACACAGAATCCGAAGCAGGCTCCAGATCCCAAGCCCTGAGCTGTCAGCACAGAAGGCGATGTGGGGATTGAACTCATGGACTATGAGATCATGACCTGAGCCAAAGTCGGACGCTTAACCGACTGAGCCACCCAGGCGCCCCTGGGCAGTAGGATTATAATTTAGCAGGAATTAAAACATGCACCAGGGGGCGCCTGGGTGGCTCAGTCGGTTAAGCGTCCGACTTTGGCTCAGGTCATGATCTCACCGTTCGTGGGTTCGAGCCCCGTGTCCAGGCTCTGTGCTGACAGCTAGTTAACAGCCTGGAGCCTGCTTCAGAGCTTCAGATTCTGTGTCTCTCTCTCTGACCCACCCCTGCTCACGCTGTCTCTCTCTCTCTGAGAAATAAATAAAACATTTAAAAAAATAATAAAACATGCACCAGAAAATAAGACTAAAAAGGAAAACTTAAGTACCTATGCAATAAGTTATAGTAGGGCTTTTTTGTTCCTATGTTTTTTTCCTCCCAATTGTTTGTCATGTGCTAATATGCTTTTTTAACGAAGGAAAAATACAGAGTTAGCAATTTAGAAAAACAAAACGAAACTAAACAAGTGTTAAGCCTTCCTACTGCCTGCAAGATAAAGCCTGTACCTCGCAGCCCTGTCCAAAAAGCCTTCAGAGAATCAGGCTCCTTGGCTATCACATTCGAAGTGCTCTCCCCTGACCTGGCTTTCCCGCCTCTGGAAATAGAGACTCACAGTGGGTAGACCGAGGACGGTCTTGTAGCTTTGTTTCAAAGAGTGAATGGACATCTCTGCAACCCGAGGGTTGATCAGCAAGTCGATTTTGTGTGTGTGTGTGTGCTTTTTTTTTAAATTTTTAATTTTTTATTTCTAGGAGAGAGAGAGACAGCGTGAGCAGGGGAGGGTCAGAGAGAGAGGGGGTCACAGACTGAAACAGGCTCCAGGCTCTGAGCTGGCAGTCAGCACAGAGCCTGACGCGGGGCTCGAACCCACGAACCGTGAGATCATGACCTAAGCGAAAGTCAGACGCTCAACCGACTAAGCCACCCAGGTGCCCCGATCAGCAAGTCGATTGATGAATGATGCACACCCATGCCATGGAAAGCAATGGGACCCCTGAAAAGGCTGAGGTGGATTTCTGTGTACTGTCTGGAAAAGAGGTCCCGATGTGTGAAGTGGAAAAGGAAATAACCGGACTCTATACACAGAGGCTGATCTCCCTTCTGTGAGGGGAAAGCCCCTATACCAATGTGCCCACACATGTACAGACATGCATATCTATGGTCTTTCATAAACGTGTAGGGAAAGATGTGGAACAGCATTATCCGACGGAAGTACAATATGAGAGGCACCTGGGTTCAACTCTTGATTTCAGCTCAGGTCATGATCTCGTGGTTCAGGAGTTTGAGCCCCGCATCCAGCTGTGCTCGCATTCGCAGAGCCTGCTTGGGATTCCCTCTCTGTCTGCCTCTCCTTTGCTCGCACACGTTCTCTCTCTCTTTGGTCTCTCAAAATAAGTATAAACATTAAAAAAGGTAACAAAACAAAACAATATGAGCCGCATATAGAAATTAAAATTTTCTAGTAGCCACATTAAAAAATTGTGAAAAGAAACAGCTGATATTAATTTTAGTAATATTTTATTCTAACCCAGTATGTCCGAAATATCTTTTCAACATATAATCCATGTGAAAATGGTGGCGATATTTTATATTCTTGTTTTATATTAGTCTAAATACTAGACCCAGTGTATATTTTAGATTTATAGCACATTTCAATTGGAATTAGCCACATAGGGCTGGCTGGTGGCTAGTAGGCGGCATGGATTCTGAAGGAGATGCGCCACTTATTGGGGGGCTGAGATTTGAGGGAAGAGGGGAT